ATCAATGATTTTGCCACCTATGGGCATTTTTGTTTTTTAAAATTATGATTTATATATTTTAATTTGTGAGTTTTAAAAAAATTATGTACTATTGACCAGCATGTTAAAGGTATCAATAATTGATAATGTGAGGATTGATTCCAATTTGTCGTTTTCGCTACTCAACTATCAAATCGCGCTATGACACAGTCAATAGCCTTAGAAATTTAACAAGATGAAAGATGATACATTTCATTGTTTTAAATTTAATCAGTCTTACAGGAGAACAAATTTTATTTTTAATTATTCTTTGAAACTGCATAGAACCTTTATGTAATAGCTCGGATTTCTACTGAGTTATTGAATTAAATGTAAAATAACTATTATCCATGGAACAAAAAACTGAAATCATTCTACAAATGCAACTTCCTGAATTACTGCTTTTTTAACATTTTCTGTGTCATGTCAGCTTTTAAAGTGAATAAAAACATGATGGGACAGAAAATTTTCAATTTTTCATTTTTTACTCATATCTCTGCTTTCCTTTTTTTCAGCGTTACCCCCAGTTCGGTGGATTGGAGGGGGGAAGAAAGACCCCTAAGAGTCTGGGTCGTAAAGGCCTATCACCCGATACAATAGGCTCTCCCTCTACCTTTTGTTATGTACTAATAGAGGTCGGGAACATGACTTGCTCACAGAGCAGAGGTTGCCCAGCCTTCCGCTAGAGCAGGCATGGAGAAAGTCGGAATTGCAGGAGCTCCTTGGAATTGGGCCATAAAACCCTGTTAGATCCATTGTTTGGAATACAATCCCCCAGCTGCGTGAGGCTAAACGTACTAAAAGTGGGGCTAGCAGTTCGCACGAAGAGGGGCGCAGCTAGACAAAGGGAGTACCGCGTGGCCTCCCTTAAAATTTAAAAGGCCTTACTCCCTAAAAATTCAAAAAAATTTTCACTAATTCAACTTCAAAAATTTTTAGTGGTAACGAAGGTAATTGTTAAAATATCATGGTGCCAGAAATTGATTATTTTCTAGTCACCTTAATACTGAATAATTATTTTATTGAAAATTGAAAAAAATATGAGCTGTGAGTTCCTTAGAATTTAATCATTTAATTGTTAATTGAAAGTTCAACTTATACGTTTGAATTTTTCAATATTTGCCGATATATGAGCCAAAAAGGCATATTAAAAAGATTTTATCATGAAAATTCGACAAGGAAATTTACCTCAAATGATTTATATGACCAAATTCTTGCAAGTCATTTTTTCCTATCAATCTATTTATTCTTCCAATATTCATATTTCATTTGAATTTCATTACAATAAAAAAGTAGGATTGTTTATTAGATGTTTTCATCTGTGATGATTTTTCAATTATCTTTACTCGATCAGTCTCTGCAGCTAATTATTTTGATGTTGTTCTGCAGTAATTATTCATTTTTTTGATCAACTGGAAATGGATGATTTTTCCAAAGTTTGACAGTGGGATCGTTACAATGAAAAAAAGTCTACAAAAAAGAAATAACGGAATTCAAATTTTTTGTTTCTGTGCTTTTTTCAGGCCAAAAATCTTGTAAACTTAAGTAGGACTGTCACCCGGATCCTCCAAACTCTATAGAAGGGTGCGGAGAACAAGGTAGATAGGAGGACGGCCAGATGGATTAGCGAGCTCACGACGGGACACGGGTCCTGGTGAAGGGCTGGTGAAAAATACTGGCCGACGGTAGTGATAGGACGTGTGTATTGTAACGAGATTTTTCTCGTCACGGGTTGAAATCCCCCTGGTGACAGAAAAGAACCCTGTTGTATGGACAGCGGAGACGGAACAGCCATCTAGCGGAGGCCGCAAAGGCCTCGGATTGATGGCAGGCAAGATTTTCCTCTGATGAGGGGCCAAAGGCATAGTGGTTTGGGTGGAAACTGCGACCCCTGTCGGCCCCGAGGACGTCAGTAGACTGTGCATATTTGGAGTTGCCTCAGCATGTGATAGGGAGTATTGGGGCCGCCGTACAGGCCGTCCAACTGAGCAACTCCAGAGCGTTACCGACTTAACCTAGGGACCAACGGCCAGGTGAGAGGACTGGTGCCCCCGGGATCCCGTCCGGTTGATTGGCCGTGACACAGGTAACGAAATGACCGTGTTGCCGCTGAGATATCGAGACGCGAGTCGAGCGCGAGCTCTCGATTAGAGCGGCCGGAACGCCGCTCGCTAGCTGGAATCACGCATGGCTGAAACAGCTTAGCAACGGGAAGATATACTTCCTCGTCCGAGTGATGGAAATCACGAGGGCGAGCATAGAGAGATCCTGCATCTCCCGCGAAACCTCATGTCTCGTTTCGGAGCATGTGGTGACGACCATTGTGTTTCTGGAGTGATCTGTGCCTGGACGAAAAAGGTGATAGTGCGTGGCCCGTGGGTCTGGAGCCGAGAGAACTCCTGTCGACCCGACATGCGCCGCCATCTTGAGTAGCCAGGGACGGTGGCTCGCGACGGAACGGGTGATCTGCGTGCCAGGAGCGTGGGTGGTCGTGAGGTCGATGGGAAGATATCCACCTCGGTCGGATCAGCCTCTTGGTGGCCCAGGGAACCTCGTGAAGTCACAGGCGAGTATGACCTTGCCCCGGGTAGCAATACCCGTAGGGCAAGAGGACCGCCCTGAGAGGCCTGGAAATGCCTCCCAGGGGAAGAGGGCGCAAATAACCGTGCTCAGCGTTGCGGGTGGTGGCGACGTTCGGCCTGGAAAGGCCAAGAAGGATTTGGGGTTTCTCCGGGTGGACCACTCCCACTCTACCAAGTCACAACTGCAGCTAGTTGGGCATGTGGCATATCCAGCGGCCAGAAAGTCCCTCGGGTAGCCGCACAGGCCCCGAGGACCGGTTTTGTCAGACCTTCCGAAAAGGTCTGGCTGGCGTCCGACACTTTTGAGGCATGGACATTGGTCGTAACGGACTATTTTCCTGGGCGAAATACCCCGGGAAAACACCCGTTACAGTATACACACCTAAAAACCCCGTCGCGGACCAACTCCCCAAGCCAAGACATTAGCTACCGTACCGGTGGCTGTGTGGCGCAAGGGGTGTTGCGTCAACGGTGCCCCCCGGATACCAGGCGACCTCCGGGGGTATTTAGCCAAGCCCCAGGTATACTAGGCTCGACTCGGATGAGACCGCTTCACCTAGATAATTGTGGGATTCATATGGAGAAAAATAACTTTATGAATTCAGAAAAGATTCCTGGGGCCTCAATGAACCAGGAAGAAGAAGACAAGCCGGTGTAGCGGTGCTGTAACTAAGTGTAGCGGTGCTGCAAGGGGGCGCTATAATAAAGAGCAGGCGGCTCTCAGGGCTCAGCAAGCCCAGAAAGAGACAAAGGAGCAATCCTCCATCGTATGCCTCAGACCGCGACAAAAATGGTTCAACTAGCTCTTGGTCCAGAGGGCTACCCGGACGGAGATGAAGGGCCTGAAGGGACTAGTGAAGTCCCAGATCCTACTCCTATCAAAGGGAACCAAAGCCTCGACCTTCGAGGGCATGTGGGAAAGAGAAGAGGCGGTAATTTTTGGCTGCTCCGATGAAGAGACGGGGACGTGTCAGGCTCAAAAGGTTATTCCCCGGCAACGAAAAAGGGGACAGATAATCAAGCCGCTATAAAAGCTCTCCACAAATCGAGTGCTGACTCTAAGTTGGTCTGGGAATCTATGGAGGGCTTGGAAAAACTGGGGACCAGCAACAAGGTAACCCTTCCTTGGGTCCCAGGTCACGAGGACATCCACGGCAATGAAATGGCAGGCGGGCTGGCGAAGCGGGGGCAATAAATGCGGACGAGGCTTCGCCAGTTGGAGTCCCCCATGCCGTGGGTGTAAGCTACATAAAGGAAGAGCTCCGACGTCAACAATCGCGGTGGAAAGACACAAAGACCTGCAGGAAGGTCAGGGCAATCATGCCTGGCCCCAGCAAGAACAGGTCGGAACACCTACTAGCTATGGACAGGAAAAGTCTGGCCACTACGATCAGGCTGTTCACAGGACATGGCAGATTTTAAGAACATTGCAGAGTCATCGGCATGGACTCGGGTGGGTGGTGCAGATTCTGTAATGAAGCAAAAGAGGACAGTCTACACATCCTATGTGACTGTACGGTATTGGGGAGTCTGTCCGAACATCTGCGTACTTAAAATCTAATCTAATCTAACCTAATGTAAGGGATAATCAAACAATATGAACGAAAACTAAAAAATCTCTTTCGCAGTGTTTTTTTTAATGTTTCGGTGCCGAAATACTCAATTTAAAGTGAATTTTTAAACGGATTTTTTTGCGGAAGTTGATAGAAAAAAAACTGAACAATTAATATTTTTTGATAATGTAAAATACATTAAAAAAACTATTCATATTTTTTTTCGAAAATTCCAATTTTTGCGCGTTGACTGACATAACGATACCTCCACTCTGATCCAAGCATTGGGTCACGCCACTCCGATTACCTACACAATACAATAGGACCCCTTTTTTGTGGACATTGGACTAGTTAGAGTTGGGATTTCGGTGAGGACGTGGAGCTCACTTTACCCAGGCCTTCACTATAGTATGCCAGGCTAGTTTTCATTCAGATAATGATTTTTGAGTGCATTCATGTACCACCGGAAGTATTGTTCTGTTTATCGATTGAAGTAATGTGGTTTAAATGATCAATTTTGTTAGTACTTAGTATTAGTACATTGCTCTTATCGTATCTATCATCACATATTTTGACTTTTCATAATCCGAGACGCTGTTGTCACCATTGCTCCCCTTTTTCATCACCCATTCTGCCGCGGTAAAATACACCCATATAATTTCTCAAACCATGATAACTTGACATTTCATAACATTTTGAATAATTTTCAAGCAAAATACAAAAATGGAACAATCGACTGATTATAAAGCGCCGGTTCGGAACTGCAACGGGGGAAAGATAATAAACTCTTTTTTTTTTGACTAGCCGTGAAAAATTGTACGTACGTATTATGAATACTTTTGAATACCTGGAGTAAAGCAGATACAATTGCTGCATGGCCAGCCTTAGCAGTTGCGTGCAATGCAGTATTCCTATGTGCATCTGTATCGTTGATTCTTGCGCCTGCTAATATTAAACTTCTGACTAACATTTCATTACCAGAAGTGACTGCAAGATGTAGAGGGGGTGTTTGTATAACATCTTGAACCCTCGAGTTGACGTCAACCTGAATTGACAATAAAAAGAGAATGCTCTCCATATCGCCCTTTTGGATGGCCATATGAAGAAAATTTCTTCCTTTATTATCGAACTGCTCAGCTGCACTTGGTAATCTCTCGAGTATTGCTTGAGCGGCTTTGTTATTTCTAACAATAAGAGCACTAGCGAAAGGACTTGACCCTTTTTTATCTCGTGACGAAAGATCAATACTAGGATGACAGAGTAGGAGAGATATTATCTGTTCATGTTGATTCTGAATGGCAACATGGATGGGTGTCTTTCCCTCAGCATCACGTGCATTAACATTTGCACCATGCTCGACAAGTGTTTGAACAACCTGTTCAAGACCCCATTGACAACAGAGATGCAATGGAGTACAATTATCTTTAGCTTCATCACCACCAGCACCGTCCGGTCCAGGTTTTCTCGGTGCATTGAGATCACACCCACTACGAATTAAGAATTGGGCAATTTCTTCCTTATTGTCGTCGATTGCGCGATGTAGAAGTGTCTGAACGCAACCATCTGGTCCAGGACTCCAGCAATCCGTATCTGCACCATGAGTCACTAAAATTGAAGCAGTATCCTCTTGATTCGAGTCTAGAGCATCCCACAGTGGGGAACCGATTGAAGTGTCTACTCCACGCCTACAAAGTGCTTCCACAACTTCACCTAATCGGCAGTGCACACTCAATTGTAGGGGATTTTCACCTTCCGGAGTTTTGGCATTCATGTCTGCCCCATTTTCCAGGAGGAATATCGCTGTGGCTGAATCTTCTTTCAGAATAGCTTGGTGTAAAAGATTCAAGCCTTTCTCATTGACTTCATTGATATTAGCACCTGCATTTATTAGTACGGTTACAATTTTGCGTCCTCTTTTCAATGGCGTTTTTATAGCCAAACCGAGTGGGGTTTCGCCCTCAATGTTTTTCTTGTTCAGCTGGACTTTTGAATTTGTTGACGACTTGAGAAGTACCTCAACGACATCAAAATGAAGATTTGAAACAGCTAAATGCAGAGGAGTTTCATTAGTGTTTTTGGTAACAGTGGTTATGGATTGGCCCGAAGGGTCCATTTCTAACAGCACTTTGGAGAGCTCTGCAAGACCAGCGCAACATGCTTCGTGGAGTACAGTGCAATTGTCGAGGTTTACTTGCTTTGTTATCAAATTATTGTCGGAATGACGAATGAGAAATATAGCAGCTTCCTCTTTACTTTCTCTTGCTAATATGTGAAGTAGAGTATCTTGATTGTCAGTGCAAATCGGATTTAGTGTGGCACCGTGAGAGAGCAATTTCTCAGCGAATATTCTATTATACGGTTCTGCACGCAAAGCAAATGACAAGGGCGAGTGACTTTCTCCTGTTTTAATGTCTAAATTTATGTTGGGGGACTCCAGTAGAAGTTCGAAAAGGGGCTCGTGTTTTTCGACGATACTCCAATGAAGAGCACTCCTGAGAAAAGAAATTTATAGAACTGTTAACGCTCTTTCTTACAACGCTTTATTATTTATTGACTTGCACAAATATTTTTAAAGAAATTCATTTTTTAGGAAAATCATGTACGATGAATTATTATGATTTCACGTGAAATAAATTTCTCTCGTACACCCTTGCAGGTCTTTACCATTTGTTTCCTTACCACTTCCCAACCCTCTGAACAGCATTTACCGAAGGGAGGGAAAACTTTATTTGAGGGAAAAAAGCTGCCCTGGTACAGTCATCTTTTTGACGGGACTACCGCTCGGCAGTGAAGCTGTGAGATTAGAGCGCTATAAATTTTGATTGCTGGTGCCTGGGATTGAACCCGGATCATTGGCATGCAGGTCTAGCACTCTAAGCGCACGGCCACTACTAGCGGTTATTATTCTATGTATGCACCAATAAAAGAATTTATATTCTTATAAACATTCTGATTATGACATAATTCTTGCCTGGATGATCTTGTGTAGGAAAATATCAATATCGGCCTCGATTTGAACGATTGTAAGGAAATTTCTTTGGTACTCCCTCATTATTCACCAAGTGAATATGGGAAAAATAGAATATTCTGAGATCTTTATAATGAATTTTACTTACCATCCTCTTTTATCTTGTACATTATTGTCGATGCCTGCCTGCAAGAGTTTAGCAGCAACACCTACCATATCTGGAGTATTGTGCTTAGCTATCAAATGAAGCACGGTACAATGTTCAAATTGCTTTATCGTTTCATCTGCAGTATTATTATCTAATATTAATTGGTCTGACAAATGGTGTGATCCACCGCTATTTTCCAACTGTTCAATAATAAATTCAGCAGCATATGAATCGCCTTTGAGAATAGCGGATTGCAATAGCGTGAGACCATGGAAATCTTTAGCACTCAAATCAGCCTGATGTTCTACCAGCGTACGTGCGAGAGAAGGTTGACGTAACTTGAGAGCCACCTCTAGTGCTCGTCGGCCTTTTTCGTCAACTGCATTTACCACTTTTGGAAGCTGTGGATTTCAAGTATTTATATAATTTATATAAATAAAGCAATAAAAGAATAAGTTACTCAATTTATAAATAATATTATAAAATTATGTGTAAGTTAACCTATGTGTCTTTTTATTTTTAATCCCATAATCTAATATTCTTAAAATTCTTGGATGTTCAAGAATTTTTACGGAACGTTCCGGAAAAATTATGAAACGTTCCGTAAAAATCTCCCCTCACGGGGACTCATGGCTAGTCGTGAGGCTTCGGGCGGATGAGTAATTTTTATGGAACAGATCGTAGAATTTATGTGATGATTGTTTTGCTTGCAGAATACGTGAAATGTTCTGTAATTTTTCTTGAATGTTTCTCCTCGTGCACACAAGATTGGCCTCCAATACTTGGTACGCTGAGACTTGGTACGCTTGTACAAACCAAGCGATCCTGCAGTTTGTCAGGAAAAAATTATTCGTGTTATTGTACATATTAACGGCATCAAAGTTTTTAACCATTCGAATTACATGCGAGGGCATTTCTCAAATGTGTTAAAGATGCTACAGCTTTTTTTGGATGTGAGAGATGCACGATTGAAGGTGTAACAGTAAATAAAGAACGAAATTATCCTGCGATGGAGTGTTTTCTACGAACAAATGACACATTCAGGGATCAAATTCAACCGAAACAACATTTGACGGATAAAGTGTACCATTACTATTATAAACCACTTGAACCACCGCTTGTGAAAATCCGCATATTTGATCTAGTTTCCGATTGATAGTATGCATTCACTTTTATTAAATGTTATGGAAAATTTAGGCGAGAAGTAGATCGTTGGAGAGAAAAATATTCACAAATTATCGACGGATGAGGTGGCTGTTTTTAAGGAATTGATGAAGTCTATTATGTCGTTTGTGCCAGTAGAGTTTCAACGGAAAAAAGTTTAACGGCAAAACATATCCCGTTGGAAAACTACGCAGTATGCGTTCTCATTGTTATATGTGGGTGGAGATGTCCTGCAACACGTCCTTTCTGCTGTTGTCTTGTGACGAGGCAGAATTTTGCGCCCCCCCCCCTGCCCCCTAATTAATACAGCTTATTTTTCCTAGGTTAAGTTAGGTTTAAGTTACTCCTTTTTCGCCACCGTTGGGCAATCCATCCCCAGATATTCCTTACCCCCGTCCCCGTTTCCCCCCGCCCTAGCACTCACGCATCCAGGAAGAGGATCCCACGTGACCCCGGAAGAAAGAGACATCCCCCGTGCGAGAGTCCCAGATGAGAAGGAGAAGGACGCCCGATGGCCCCCCCAAAACCAGGAAAGACGTAGTGAAAATGATTGGCAGCTATCACTCGTGCCACAACTGCCCCACGAGTCACTGCCTCATAAAGCAACGAAGTTACCCCAAAAGACTCCCGTGAAGAAGTGCCCAGGAAAGACCCTGAAAAAGTGTTAATAAGGAGTAAAAGTGTGAAGAGACAAAGTGTGAGAAGAGAGACTGTGTGAAGGAGAAATACTGTGAAGGACTAAATTTTGTGTGTGAGAGGAACTATTGCGAAAACTGGTGAAGGAGAAAGAGAGTAATCTTGTGTGGACGAACAGTTGAGAGTAATCTCGTGTGGAGGACCCGATTTGCCGAGAGGAAAATTGTACGGCTGAACATCTTGGAGAGGATCCGAGGAGAGCCGAGAGAAGGAAGGAAGGAGGCAAAAGCCCCGAGGAAAACCGAGAGAATTCTGAGGACACCATTCCCCGTGAGTGCCCCATTTTTTATTCCCTGCCCCAACGACTTTCCCTGCCCGTGTTAATTTCCCCCCAACGGTGAGCCTCCAATACACTTATGTTAGTTGTAAATTAAGCCCCGTATTAATGATTAGCTTTTCAGTCGGCCCCCCTCACTTCTCCCCTTTTTTCCAGAGTTAGAATCACCCCTTTTTTTTATTGTATAATATTTCGCGTAGCCGCAAGTGAGTTGGCCTTACCCCCCACCCTCGAGTTATTAGTTAAAAGGCCCGAATTATTTGTTATATTAATATGTTGTGATAAGAGTAGAATACAGACAGTCAATTTATAAATCCCCCCCGAGTTATTATTGAAAATCCCCTCCCTCTTATTATTTCAGGTCCTCCCATAAATTATAATAAAGTTCCCTTTCATTTTTCAGATTATCGTAAATTCCCCAATATCGTGCCTTCGCCGGGAATTATTATATTTTAATTCCCCGGCCAAGGTCACAGTCTATAGCAGAGGTGGGCAATTTCAGCTTTGGGAGCTACTCCAGCTCCCGACCTCCATTAGGCAAAATTGTCCCAAGCCATAAGTTTTATGGCTGTGCCCTCTTCGGGTCCATGATGCCCTGCCCGTAGGCAAGAGTAGTAGGGATATTCGGTACAAACTTGGTGCTGGGAAAAGTGAAATAGAAATATTTCTTATGTCTCTAATGAAAATATTTCTTTAATGATTGTTTTTTTTGTTGTCATGATTTTGATTGGTTATTGGTTGCTATTAATCGGCTTCATAAAAAAAAATTTCGTTCCTTTCATACATTTTTGGAAGTGGCAATATTTTTTGGAAAACAGTTATTAAATATTATCATGTTATTAATAGATCCTACTTGACAATCAGTTTCAAGCTTTTTACTTCTATATTTCCTGCTCTCGATGTCAAATTAAAATTCACAAAATTCTCACAATCAAAAAAATGATCGGCGTATCGGCGTTATACGGGCATCCCACTCCCATTTCCACCGAGGAATGTTGAATCGAAACCATCATATTTTAATTCCATGCCCTTTAACTAAAAAGAAAATGCCCAAACACGTGCATACAAATTCAAACCATTTTGCCTTCGCAATTCAATCACGCGCATGCGCCATCACCCGATGCTACTCCCATCACACAAATATACGACGACCTTTCTAGTGACGTTAGATCCCTTATAATTGGAGCTTTAATAATTTTATGGCTACTGCTCCGAGCGTATCTGAGGTTGCCTCTGGTCTATAGATGGAAATTTGTTGGAATTTTTAGGCGTTAAGTTTTTATTAAATTTGAAAAGAAAGCGCGCGGCGCTCTATCAACTGCGCCCCAGTTCGCGCACGCGGCTACTTCCACCCTGACTCCGCTGGGTTTCACGCAATTGGGGTATTGTATTTCCAATAATGGGTCTAACAGGGTTTTATGGCCCGCGGCTCCCGAAGGTCGGACTTTGCCCATGCCTGGTCTATAGCACAGGGCCCGGCAACCTGGGCTCATCGAGCTCACGCGGCGCCCGAGGTTTGTTAGTGAGAGCTAGGAGAGGGGTCTCATCCACTTAGAACAATTACCTGCTCTAATTCGATTTTTTTTCCTCCTTGAGCCTTAGGTCGACCGATACCGGCAGAGGGCGACCGTGGGATCGAGCAGCAATTTTCAACTTTTCATAAATATCAATTATAAATGTAAATTTTTCACTCAGAGTAGCCAGCAATATTATGCAAAAAGTTTTTTTAATGCTTTTATGATGAGAAGTCACTTTTGACAATTATTTTGTGTTGAGGCGATATTTGCCAGAATCCAATAAATAAAATACAATATTTTGAAGGAATGAACAATATTGGGGCAATTTCAAAACAAAATTTATTTTCTCATGTTATGAATAAAAGAATTCATTCTTTATTTGGACATTGCAAAATTAGCAAAATTCAAAGTGTAATATGAAAATCTGCAATGGAATTTTCAGGAATATATTCCGAAGTCGACAGTGGCAACTATCCATTTTTCAAACTTAGAGTTTCAATATTTGAAAGGAAAACAATAATTGCCGACTACCATCCTAGAAATATATTTTTCAAGGTTTTTCTATGTAAATTTGACGTTTTCAATTCTATATTTAAAATATAGACCTTAAGTTTAGCGCCAATTCTGGCGAATCGGCTATTTTTATTCGACTGACACGACACTCTACGTGGCTGAGGAGAATATCGTCACCACTGGGACTTATTCACACACAATGGTTGTCCAATTGCGTACCTATTAGCATGAGAGAATTACCCTGACCCTCGTAATAAGGTAGGTCCTGACTACCTGAAGGTGGCCGGGCCCTGCAGTACACTGACATCATATGAAGTGATTGCGCCGCGAGCGCATTCTTAATACCTTTTCCTCGAGATTTTCCTTGCCCAAATATTTGCCCATGTAGTCGCGTTCCGTGAACCAATAGTGTAGCACGTAGTTTGAACGATTGGCCCCGTACAGTGCACAGTGATAAATTTATTACGCATGCTATTTTCGTTAAATTTATAACGAAATTCGAGGCGAATCCGTCCCCTGTATTCCTTTCGGGTAAATACAAAAAACTTAGTCATAAGAGCGAGAGAGAACCGCGGAAACCAGTCAAAACTTGACGCAAAAAGGGTCCCGAAACCCTGGGCTATAAGCTACCTGCTATCGAAAAAGACTCGGACAAAAGCTACCTGATAAATCTTCTAAGAACTGCTACCTGCTACTTAACAACCTCCGGAAAAAGCTACCTGAATTATCCCTCCAAGCGATGCTACCTGGATAATCTTCGTTAAACTAGCTACCTGCTATATGATCCTCCCCTCGGAGACAGCTATCTCATTTCCCCAGACTCGTGACGCAAAGATTCGAAATGAGATAACTAGAATCAATAATAGAAAATCCCTACGGTTATGGAAACTATCGTCAAACTATGGTTACCGTTAAAGATTAGAAAATATTTTTTTATCCCCTTTAAGATCCTCCTTTTAACAATTGAGATTAGTTTGCGAGGAATTGAGGTAAGGATTCAGGGACTACCGCGGAAAATTGGCCGACAGATTGTGCCCCCGTTGATCCCTGCAAAGCCTTGTGGTTAGTTGGAAAGAGATGTCCATAGGTTGGGTTGAGATACCTGCGTTTCGTTGATTGTGGGAGGGTTGAGAAATTTTCAACTTAGTACTGTTGGAGGCCAGGTCAGCGAAGGTGGGATGGATCGCCAGAGCTCGGCGGTTGCGAGAATTTAGGTTTAGCTACAATTTAGCAC